ATATATTTCATTTTAAAAAAATTTTTCATTTATCATCATTATCAGAGTTTAGAAGAAAAAAAAAAAAAAAAAAAGAGAGAAAAAAATTACAGGAAGAAAAAAAAAAAAAATTTTCCTTGTCTTACACATAAAAAATAACAAAATAAATAAATTCTTATTAATTTTATGCCACGAATATAATAATAAAGAAGCTCAAGAATAAATAATAATAATAATAATAAAATTCAATTGTTTTTACCCCACCGCGAGTTTTTTTTTTTTTTTCATAACGGTTACATAAATATTATTATTAATATTTTTTTCCATATCTTTTATTAAAAAATAAATAAAATCACGTGACATACTCATTTTAAAATATATTATTATTATTATTAATAATACGAATTACAATTACCGAACTCAAATAATAATAATAATAATAATAATTTTCCAATTTTCTCGCTTCCGTTTTAAATGTTTTTTTTTTTTTTTTTAATTTTCTGTTGGAAAAATTATAATTTTAATTTATTTAAATAATTAAAATAATTGTACTATTGTTATACTCTCCAAAAAAAAAAAATTATAAACAATAATAATAATAATAATAGTAATAATAATAATAAATTATTACTTTACAATTAAAAACATTTGCCATCGACTCAATTGATAATAACAAAAATTATTATTATTATTATTATCGGCAATAATTTTTTTTTTTTTTTTTTTTTGTATTAAATAAGTTGGAGATTTCCATAAAAAAAAAAATTATTAAAATAATAATAATAATAGTAGTAGTAAAAATAATAATAATAAAAAAATAAATAAAATTTATTTTTTTTAAGGTACTCTCATCAACTCTCATCTATTATTATTATTATTTTTTAAATTAAAATTAATAATTTTAATAATAATAATAATAATAATACAACTATTAATTAATTAATTATTTAATAAAAAAAAACGGTTACCAAATCGAAAAAAAAAAAATAAAACAAATTTTTATTTATAAAAAAATAATTATTTCTAATTGGCAGCTTTAAAATTATTTAAAATAATAAAATTCTGTTTTATAATAATTATTAAAAAAAAAAAAAAATTTCTCTCTCTCTCTCTCTCTCCATCTCTTTCTCTCTCTCATAATAAAAAAAAGAAACATTATTATTATTATTATTATTACAAATATTGGCAAAATTATTATTATTTCCTTTTATTTTTTTCCTGGCCTTAAATATAATAGTAGTAATATAGTATTTTACGACATAATTATTATTATTATTATTATTATAACTATTTATAAACTAATTTCTATATATATATATAATTAAATTTATTTAAATTGATGAAATGTATTTTTATTATACAAAGACTATTTTTTTTTTTTTTTCGCCATTAATTAAGTACTACACAATATAATTCAAATAAAAAAAAAAAAAAAAAAACGACGACGTTTAACTATTATTATTATTATTCATCTAAGGGGGATGAAAAAAAAAAAAAAAAAAATTTACTCGGTTGAAATCCTTCTTGACAATTCTATCTATCATTTTGCCCCAAAAAAAAAAAAAAAAATTAATTTAATTATTTATATTGCACTTTCAAAATGAAGAAGAAAAAGAATTTCAAAATGGCGTCCCATCATTTTAATACACTGCCAGTAATAATTTTTTCCTTTAAATAAATTTCATTAAGTTTTTTACAATATTTTTGGCCAAAGTTTTGTTTTTTTTGTTAAAATAAAAAATTTACAAAATAAAAAAAAAAAGTTCTTAATTATTGAAAACTGTACAATTTTTTTTTAATTAAATTAAAAAAAATACTCATTTAAGAAGTAGAAGAAACCAACAACGAATTCACACAACAACAACAACAACGACAACTACAAACAGTGACATTTTTTAATTATTATTATTATTTATATGACATACACCATACATCTAAGCGACAAATCATTAAAAAAAAAAAAAAAACTTATTTTATAGGCAGTTTATATATTACTTCTACACAGGTTAGGGACATTTTTTTAAAATAATTTTTTTAATAAATTATTTATTTAAGAAAATAATTATTAAGTGATGACTACAATTCATTATTTTTATTAATTAATTAATTAATTAATGTAAATCATGGTCAATATCAAATTAATTCCTTTTCGACTAGATTTTAATTATTTTTTTTTTTTTTTTTTTACATAATATTATGTACATTTTATTTAAATAAAATTACGTTTATCGCACGGTTATTTATTTCTTTTTCTTATTTAAAATATTGTTTTTCCTTTAATTTATAGCATTTAATAAGAAAATAATAATAATAATAATAATGCATTCTTTTTAATAATAAATTCTTTTCATCATCGTTTAGAAAAAAAATTTTCTTTTTACACTTTTACTAAAATTTAATTATAAATAATTATTAATAAAAAATTACATTTATTAATTTATTATTTATTTTATATTTTAAAAATTAAAATTTTCTTTTTTTTTTCCATTTCATATTTTTTTAAAACATTTCAGAAAGAAAAATATTTTCCCGTGCGTTTCTTAATAAATAAATTTTTAAAAAAACTGATTAGTGCGACCGCCATATTTGCCATGTTTCCCCTTCTTCTCTTTTTTTTTTAAGAACGTACGACGAATAATAAATTTTCTAATTCACAAATAATATCCACACTCACGACTAAGCCAAGTTCAGATTATTATCATTATTATTATTATTTTTATTCATCTATTATTTCGGTTTTAACTTCGGCAACGTTTTGAGCTTGTTGTGCAGCTATGGCTTTCGTCAATACGGAAGCATCTTTCAATGAGAGTACCTGAAGAACTTGAGGTTCGTTACCGTTTCCCATTGCCACCATTTGATGTCCGACAATGTTACCCGATGACGTCACCGTTATAGTTTCCACTCCGTTTTCGTTAGAGGGTTCAACTTTAGGTACTTGAACGACTGGCGTCACAACCTAAACGATTAACAAATAAAAAAAATATAAATCATCGATAATTTGTGTGACGTATTAAAGCCCCTGTAATAATTACAAATTATTATTATTATTATTATTATTAATATTTTTGAAATAAAGAAAAACTACCTGCATCGTTCCGTCACTGGCTTGCGTTAAATGTTGAATATTAGCAACGACCGTTTGATACATTGATGCAGATACAGGTACGGTTATCATTCCTGAAACTGAAACCGGATAACCTGAAAATCAATTAAATATTAAAATAATAAATAAATAAAATATTAATTTTAAAAGTGTGTACCGCGAATAAGCTTACCATGGCCATCTTCTCCCGTTAAAATAATCTGTCCATCTTGATTCAATGTTGCTTCTGTAACATTATTGAGATCAACGGCAACGCTTTCACCCGTCACACTATCCTGTATGGTTTGAACTGTATGAACCGTTTGAGTTCCATCTCCCTGGGAAGCGTGTATCTAGAAAAAAAAAAAAAATTTAAATCGTTTATTTATGGTGATTTGTACTACAATAACCACATGATAATTAAAAATCGGTTAAATTACCGTTGCCACTCCTTGAACTTGAGCTGTTGTGCCATCTGGTAAAGTTATTATCGGATTATTTGGATCGACCTGTATAATGGACACGGTTCCATCAGGATTTGAAATTGTTTGAAGAACGGCTGGAGCATACGATGTCTGTACCTTGAAAA